TGGCCATCAGATCCAACCTTAAATCATCAGTGCGATTATCTTCATCATGGCCTAATGTGTTGATACGAAGTTGGAGGTCATCCATCTCCTTACCTCTATATCTTTCAGCGGAATCTGCCATTTCTCTCATCTTTGAATTTTTACCATTCTCGCCAATGGCCTTGCTAATACTACGGTTACTATCCGTCAGCAGTACTCCTATTTTCTCTTGATTTATACCCCAATCTTCAAAAACAGACTCTATCACATCTCTAAAGGAAGCTGCGCTGCAAGAATTCGGAAATGATTTAACTGCAAGCACAGCTTGATGACAACGGCGATCCAGCCAAGAAAAGAAATGAGCAATGATAATCAAGTAATGCGATGCCATTCCTCTTTTAACCCGAGTATTGATACTAAAATGAACTTTCTTCGCTGCTGACATTTGCTTTGCTATGTTCAGTCTCATTTGTGTAATAAGTTGCTCAATTTGCTCAATAAGTTGAATCTCATTAGGAATGCGATATGTTTTGTCGATGGTCTGCAATAGCGATCGGAAAAGAGCGTCTCCTATAACGTTAGTGCCAAAATTGGAGCAACCAATAAAAATTGCTAACTTTTCGTTAATAACATGATGTCGATGAGCGTCTTGATCTACACTATTTAAACAGGGCAATACGGATTTTCGTCTTTGGGCTTCTTTCTTACTAGCAATTGCTTTGATTTTAGGACGCTTAGAGATAATTGGCGCCGAGCTCGAACCAAAGTGTCCTTCTCTCGATACAACATCATCATATTCCGCTTCATGATAGGCCTTCAAATGCTGTTTTAAATTGGTAGGGAATTTACCTAAAAAAATTTAAAGTTGATGCAAACTTCAACCCGAACCGAATCAAGACTTTGATAATTTCACTGCATCATTTCTTAATATCCAATAGACAACAGCAATTAAAAGTAATGCTTTCATTTTTTGCCTAAACTATATGTAATTAAAAATTGTACTATTTCTTTTTCGTTTTTTTCGGCGGCAATCGGTGGGATCCAATAGACAACAGCAATTAAAAGTAATGCTTTCATTTTTTGCCTAAACTATATGTAATTAAAAATTGTACTATTTATTTTTCATTTTTTTCCGCGGCATTTCTATTCGTGTATGAATCTGCTGTCTATTAATATGATGAGCCTCAGCAATAAAAAACTTTCCTGAACCTTGTATTACAGTATGCAGTATTCGTAATATCAAGTTTAATAGAAGATGAAACTGAGCTAATGATATCCATAAACTGTTGAAGGTCTTTCTCTGTGCATTTCTCTCATTGCAAACTTATTTATCATGAAGACACACAGACCAGAACGAATTATTTAATTTATTTATTGCAACTACTACAATAGAACTTGAAAGTTCAAGCTGCCTACTAGAATATTCATAGGTCATAGATGAAACATGCTCCAATTTTGTTGATACTACTTAATAAGGCTAAAAGCCTAACTTTCCCAACTACGGGGATACACTTTGCGAACACTCTAATCCTGTCTGCAGCAGTACATATTCAAGATGATTGCTAGATAGTTGCAAAGGTGATATTTCGATAGATGTAGCCAGATTTTGGTCGTATCTTAAAAGTGGTTATTGACAGCAATATATATATATATATCATAAGTATAAGGTTATTTGGTTATAGTTATAACTTTGTGATCTTGCTTTCAATTCCTTTATACTGTACTACTATACTTCTAAGCTTACTAATTGACATTTACATTGATGCTTACCTACTTTACTAGTAAAGAATTGTTTTCTCTGCGGAAGCCGTAGTTTGTATGGTAAGATAGACTCTATGTACTTGACTAACCTTTTATTTTATGTTCGCACATATGAGAAGAAGGACTAGTAGTCCCCGATTTCCGGCTAGCTCGATTCTTGACCATCACTTGGCATATACTTCTTTTAGTATTAGCATCGTATGTAAAATATTGCCATACTGTACTCCTTTTCGGACGATTACCTTTTCTTATCGAAGGGTAAGTTGACGATTTTTGCGATGAAGACATGATAAAGTTTTAGAAATGGTATATAATTCTATGTAAAGCCTTTGCTACTTTCTGTTACTAATTAATGCCAAAAATGATAGTAATGGCAGATTGCTTTTAGTTTAATAGAAGTTCTAAAACTGCTTAATTAAATTGTAGTTATTCTAGAGATCCAAGTATGACCTAATATTTTTAAAATAGAGTGCACTATTACTCTGTTCTATTTATATCATAGGAAAGGACCTAATTAACATCATCTTCAATGGAGCCCGCCGACTATGAACCATATTATCTTTGCTCAGATTGTTATGATAATCAATGCTGCACTGACAACTATTCCACGATTTGGTGAGACAAACTGGAAGTTGCAACATTTTAGTTACTACTCTATGTCTTTAGTTAGTAACAATACTTTTAAACTTTGCACTGCATGATTAATAGTTTTACTAAACAGAATCAAATCTGGTATTTATATGTTTGCTATGGTCTACTACCAATACCCGTCCATGCAAATATGTAGCGCCATATGTGACCTTTCGATAGTTAGATTATGTTAGACGCCGAGGAAAACTTGGAAAATGCACAAAGTGGAACACTAGAAGTATGGACTACTAGATGCATTAGATGGTACGGTATATCTAGAAATCCGTGGTAGAAGCAGCCACTTTAGTATACATGAAATTAAAACATATTGCTACGTATAATTATTTATTATCGTTTCCATCAGAATTTATTGTACGAGAAAATTTTCTAGAAATTATAATGTAACACTAACCTACGATATTGAAATTTATTCCGGAGATCAAACATTACGATAGTCTAGTAGTCTACTGAATTTGAAGAAAAAGGTTACACCTTTGATTTCTCAAAGGTTAATCATTCTACACCAGTCATATGGCTAAGTAGTGATTGTAGCTAATTTGGTATTCTAGAATACAACCTAAATTTGATAAATGATGATTAAGCACTAGAATATTTGCATTTTAAAATTAGGTTATATCGGTATCGCTATATCCTGGGACTACCTAACATTTTAGAATTTGCTAATTTATAATTTGAATATTATAGAATAACTTGATTTTTTCTTTCATAAATAAACGATAATATACTTTTTGAAAAGTAAATCGTACTTTGGGACTGGCTTTTAAATTTCATAAAACCTTGCACCGTGCATTTGTAACTTAAAGTCATGATAATATATAGTATTCTACATCGAGTTCTCCCATAAGACTTACAAAAACAGAATTATTGACAAATATAAAAAGAAAAGTGCGTTTATTATTCTAAACCTAGTCTAAATATTGTTCGGGATCCTATTGGTCTATCAATTATTTTTTACTGACTAAATTTAAAATTCTTTATTTTTATATTTCTGTAAGTAAATTCCTCTTTTTTGATTGAAACCAGGATATGATTACTGTTCTTAATCGAGTTCTAATACAGTATTCTCATTTATATTAACTAGTTTCTATCTTTGTGAATGAAGAATTTAAGACGGTTATAAGCCTGATGAGCATGAATCCATACCTGGGAACAGCAGTACTATACTATACTGTAGAATTGATTAAATTCGTACCTAGCACCATTCACTAAATTAACAAACATATTTGATATTCGCGATATTCATGCATGGTTTAAATCCGTTGCTAACTAACTTTAGTTTAAAACAAATAAAACATAAATTCTTTAACAATTTAAAATCGATCAGAATTAACGACTCGATACGTAATCCCGTATATATTCAAGTATTGTTTAGACCATCAGAGTTATAATGATTTCTATATTATTTTACTACCTCTTGATAGCCAATGGAATTGCTAACATTTCAAACAAGATCTTGAATTAAGAAAAACTACAGCATTATGCATTAAGTAAAGAATATATCGCCTTTTTTACCCTATGATTGGAATGCACAAAGGAAGCCTCAGCATAACTCTGCAGTTGACTAAAACTATAACTATAAGTTCTGGATCATCATATTCGTCAACCTATCATTATACTGCCTAAATGTGATGAAATCAGCAGTTAGTGTGTTGTATTGACACTCAAATCAAAGCATAAAAATAGATTGCTAACGAATTTGATCCTACAGCTACTGTATTCTATGAATAATTCCATACTGATTTATTTTCAACTAGCTTTACACTAGCAAAATCGGTATTTGAATTTTACATTTGCAGTTCGACGGTATCTTGTACAGTATTAGCTATCGTTTTTAAAACTCCTCGTTGATATTGGTATTTTGACTACAAGGTTTAGTTAAGTCGCCAATGCATTCGGTCTAACACTGACTAACCGATAGCAAATAATGCTGCAAGAGTTCAATAGGCAGATAAAGTAGAAATTTAACTCAGCTGGGTACCGGTAACAATTACAGGTTAGGCTAAATTAAAATGCAAGCTTTTAGTATATCTTTATATATACCATCGATTGAAATGTCAACAATGCAACAACTTAGACAAAATTCTATGCCAAATGCTTCATAAAATTATTTGGTTTATCTTATCCTGTAAACTTGCAGCGATATTAATACTTTTAATTCTAGTATATTTATACAAAGATGTTTTACCTTTAAATATAAATGTCATCGAATTAATTTAAATTGTACTCAAGAATATTAGACAACTAATGTTCAAGCAGCCTATAACCAACAAATTAAATAAGATTAAATCATAATTGGCATGGATAAACAATAACAACTTCAGTGAAGTTTCAGTAGCTAAAATTCTATATTTTAAAGTTCTATTAGTGACTCAAATATAAAAATACTACAGTATGTTTGACTGCAAATACATTCCTTTCATAATGGTCAATACGCTCACCAACATGAGATATTGAAATACGAATCTCTTTAAAACTAATATATTGTGAAGATAAATACTATTGCACTGCATTATATACCTTTTATTATAATAAGTTTACAACGCAGTATGTACAATTATTCTTATTGCATGTGAGATAGAAAAGATTATTAACGATAGATATTGTATAATCTATGTAGTCGACACTTTCAGTACTTCGTTCGGCATCTTGTACACGTTTAGACTTATCAAGCGATTTTCGAGTTTGTCAGGATCGCCTACTCTAATACGTGGCAACGCTTTAATTCTTTTCGTACTCCTAGCATGATAAAGCTAAATAGCAAAAATGGATATTGTTAAAATTCATACCTTTAGAATATCTATCTACAGATACAAAGTTATTTAAAATGAATCGATCTCAATAATTCACTTCTACAGCCTTTAACTAGTATAGAAATTATCAATTATATTATAATAAATAATATTTCTTTATAAAATGGTGAAAATATAATATTAATTTTGAAGAAGATAAGGTTCGGCAATGGCTGTATTATAATTCTTTAGTAGTATTTACCATTAGTAAAAGTGTGTCGAATCTAATTGAAATCATTTATCATTTTAAACGATAATTTTAACATTTCATTGTACTCATTTTTTTATAATATACCAATACGTTTAATACAGAGCAATATAGAATAGTCTATATATTCAAATTTTAGGTTGCAACTAAAGATAGATTAACTTAGGTAATTAAAATCACAGACTGCACAAACCTTATTATATCTGATCGCCAGAAAGGCATCTGCAATGCTGAGTAGTAACACTGCTATCAACATACATGCATTACTAGTACCAGCAAAGATGAGGGTGTTAGCTTTATTATCTGCGACAGTAATAAGACTCATTGTAGTAATTGCAGCCGTCCCTCCAATCGATAAAAACCTCAGTCCTCGTACAAGATAGGACTACAAAGAAAGTCAACGAAACGTTAGATATAAATTATCACGATAACATAATAAGGATTTCAGGTGAAATTAAGTTCAATTCCAGTTTATTTCTCTTTCATTCATTTTATGTAGTAAATTGATGGTAATAGAAATGATAGAACTGATTTACCTTACAAAGTCTTCCGCTGTTTTTATCTCCATAATTAAAATAACGATTTAAAATTAAGCCACCAAAGGCAATAATATTTATTAAATTAATCTAAAATACAAATTAATAGCATTATTAGAAATAAAATAAATTAGACTATAAATTATCAAGTTACAGTGCTAAATTCATGACAACAATTTTTGTAATATGACTTTAAACGAACGCAGTCAAGCTACTGTTAGATAAAGAAAAATTCCATGAGAACTAACGTCTGAATCCGTTAGTGAGTGCACATAAGTATGTATCTCCTAAGATATTTTAAAATATGTAGAGCATTTTTCCCGTGTAAGATATCCTAAGCCTTTATTATTTATTACTTATTATGTCTCTCTCTTACAAGAATTTTATAATAAAGTGAGTCTTGGATCTTATAAGAATATTTCAACTTAATACGCTATTTATAAGCAGGAATCGGATATAAAATTATGTTTCAAGACAGATTTTCAAAGCTAGAGCTTTAGCAACGCGGATAGGAAAATTAGTTTATAATATGCCTTAGTGCGGATTTTGTTTACTGACTAAGTAATAGTAAGCAAATATTTTGCTTAATTACAAAAGTATGGTTAAATAAAATGCAAAAGCAGAGCCATAACTGTATGATAACCTTATTTCTAGTAATTAAATATTTAAATTACGTTATATCGTTACTTAATCTGTAAATTTCTATTTAGGCACTCATTTAGTAACTGGGGGATGCTATCAATATTCAGTGTATATGTTCAAAATACAGCATCATGAAGGATTTAAGAATGAACTGAAATATCACCACAGAATGTTAAGATCGAGGCACATAATGAGCAAAAAATAGATAGCCTCATATTGGGTTTTCTTTCGTGTCACAGATTAAGACTAATTCAGCACAACCTACTATTCTAAATTTACTTATTTATGTGATACTATGTTAAAGAATCCCATAGGAAGCATTCTATCTTAGATGATAAAAAAGGTACCATCTAGACCTAAGTCACGATTGTGACGAATGAACGATTAGAGTTCAGGCCTGATAAAACAAATGTTTATCACAGATGAAATCTTCTGAACAACTGTGATTATAAAATGCTTATTTAGTGATTTGTTACCGGTAAATTGAGATTGCAATTAGAGTTATACATATTTGCAGTTAGTGGGTGTGGTTTCTAGATAGATAACTATGCGCAAATCTTGGCATACTCGCAGACATACCATACTTTAGCATTACTAACTTGTCTCCCACTGATTATAACTTGTACTCTACGTACATCAAAAATTACAGAAAGATTCTAAGCTGAAAGGTTTTATCTCTTACAATAGTTATATCTTTAAATTAACGGCCATACTATAATGCACTTTAAGCCCAAAAGTAATTTTAAAAAACAAATATATCGATTATGCATAAGTATTCTCGTAGACTTGAATTAAATTGAAACAGTTCTACTTACCAATGGAACTGAGATGAAAAACGTGACATTTTTCCCTTTTCCAAATTGTAGCTGTAATGCTCCGACTAGGCATAACAGACAGTGTAATAAACTAATTACGAAAATGGTATACTGTAAAAGGAATTGTAATTGTAGATGTCGTTTTTGTTGTCTGCTTTTCCGATTCTGATTCATCCGGTGCATATCTGAGTAAAGTATAAATTAATAATAGATAACGTAGTTATTTCTATCTTATTTATTAGGCTTATATTATAATGGAAAATGAGCGATTGAAGTAGTTTAGCCTATTTATGGGTATGTGTTACAATTTACTTACCGGTACTATAACAAATAACGATTTTCTTTTGGCTTGGCTATTATGAACTTGAATATGAGAGGGCCGAAATAGTCGCAACTGAGAATATCCGGGATTGAACTTGTCGCTTATATGATACTCGTAAACATTTGACAGTTCAATTCCGATAATACTGATACTTTAATCAGTACCATTTCTTGTTATTTTTATTTGTAATATTTCCACGAAAGAGCTATTTCCATATTATGTGATTATGCCAATATAGACCACCTGATGTTAGTGACAGATTCGATATAGTACCTTAGCCTTGCAGAAGCAGTAATAGTATAAGTAGAAGGTGATTGTATTATACTAACGTAGATCTATGCTACAGTACTTCTATTGCGAAATCTTTCACTAAGTATCCTATCAAATAAATGCATTGTACACGAAGCTAAATTTTTTTCAGCTAATTTAAATATCTTAATAGGGAGTTTATGCGACTTAATAACTTTAATTATACCGATACGCTAAACACTGCACTGTACTTGGACCTTTGCTGCCAATAAATAAAATGTCTTTCTGCTTATTTATTTATTTATTTATTTTAGTTGTACGTGATTATGCCTGAATTTGCCATCACCTGTTCAAAAAATTACTCCACATAACAATAATTAAAATGATAGCTTTTACCATAATCATTTTAGTTATTCCTGACTGTATTACAATAATCAGTTTTTGATCGACTTTTATTGACTTCAAATTAATATTCACAAATGCATATGAGTGCCCTATCGTAATTCATTATATAGTTTGTTGTGCTTTTCTTTGTTCTTGAAGGTTTTTGAATTCACAAAATAATGCATCTTTACGAGCAATAGACCACAGTTGATTCTATATTCATATACACGTACAGTATATAGAATGTTTGATATGTGAATAAAATACTAAATCCGTCATATCATGAAAAGCAAAATGCAAAAAAATATAGTAGTAGCATTCATTTGTCCTACATTAAGGTTTAAGATTTAAGCATTCTTATGCATTGATTATGTCATCAATAAAATTTTACTGTCAGACGGAAGAAATTATGATTATATACTTGTATTCATATTTTATTAGTAAATTTTCAACTATTAAAGTAATAATTAGCAATAAAAATTCACGCACTGAAACAGAATTTCGTGTTAGAAGGATTAGATTTCCGGCAAATCAAAATAAAGAACGCAACTGCAGCGAATATTGCTTCCTATTATAATCATATATTGAATCAAACAGTTCTTTCACTATATTCCCAAAACGAGTATGAAGAGTAATAGCTTGAAATAATGAATTCTAATTTACTTATTTCGCTATTAAGGCACGTAGAATAATAGATACATACTTATGTTATCGATAAAATTTCTGACTCTTTATGTTCCCAGAAACAATTAAATTATTAAAAAATAATATGAAACACCTTAACCACAATAAAATGACAGTAAAGCTATCCTGTGGAGAGTCTGTTTTCTATAAATAAACAAAACTGATCACTGGTCAACGGAATTTAGCATCAGTTGGAGACAGTCACTAATTTGATTTTCATAAAGTATGATCTTTATAATAAATATTTACAACAGTTACTATGACTTTCAACCCGAACTCAATTTTAAGTGGATGGCTGACGGTCATGTACATTTACATCTAATAAATTTCTGTAAGAAGTATAATTCTTAAGAAATATTCAGCGATCATAGTTCACATGACGATCAAATGGTCATTATATAGCAGCTACTAATCGACTACGAGATGAATTTATGATCCTCATTTTACGCAGTATCAGTAAAGATGACGTACACTTAAATCTCCTCTAACCTTAACCTTGATCCCTACGATTAACCTTGTTCATCATTATTATTTGTCCGTCCGAATGATTTTGATCTTAAATTTATCTTTAGATATAGGACATTTATGCGGCTGGCTTGCCTAAAAATTAAGGGTCGTACAACGGTCATAGGAACATACGCGTACGGTGATAAATAAAGCAATGCTAAAGTTCACCTTCTAGAGTGTGAATAATAAGAGTTTTGATGACATGTAGTATTACTACATGTTGCGCATTACTACTGAACTCTAAACTTATTAGCATTAACTTTCTTTGGCACCTGAAATACTCTGATCCATACCGTAGTCTAACAGTTGAACTTATGGACTGATGATTATAAAATACAGAATCTTAATTAATAAATGATGATGGCTCTAAAGAAAACACCGTTATACGCTTCTAAGGAATAGATTAGAGTATTCATTAATTATTTAAACTTTACTGCATTTGCATTAGCTTTGTAATCGTAAAAACATCCTATACTAAGTCGTATGGGTTACTATACTTATTTTATGATCCTGAAATCAATTTATTATTATCAGTAGCCACTTGTGTATTGAATTATAGTGGAGCAGATATGAGCGTGAGATCAAGAACCTTATCAATCAATCAATAAGTAAAAACTTCCATTTGAGTTGAGGTTGACACTTATAAAAGCACTCTATTAATTTGTTACAGCTTTCTAATTTGATAATTACACTTAGAGCGATCTGAGTTCGCTATAGAAAACGGAGCAATACCAAGGAATTTCGACATCATTACATACATTGTCATAACATATTTGAGATGTGTATCTTACACATAATGCGATTCATAGTAGTTATTTTATCATCCTGTTTAATAAAAAATTTACTTACTATATAAGAATTCTGTACAATATAATACACTTTCTAGGAATTAAATACTAATTGCTTCGCGTGGCTAAAGTACTGAAAATTTTAATACGTATTAGGAATGTAGAGTGAGCACGTGCCGACTATTTTTAATTCCTTCAAATAAATTACAAACTGATTGGACTTCGCTCACTGAGTGCAATAATCAATATTGTTTGTATTAAAACCTTTGACATAATTCACCTCTATGAAGAGAAAATTGTCGGTAAATAGTATTGCGCTTTATGCTTGCATGGCATAGCTTAGCCCTAGCATATATTTTAAAGAATATGTAAGAGATTATGCACTTTTATTCATCGGAATGTACTGTAGGATATTCTTGAAGAAGTACTAATAAAATAGTCATATTAATAAATAAACCGCTAGTATAATTAGCTAATATTATTACCATAAGTTGAATTCTATTATAATTATCAGTGAAATTTACTTTGAAATTACTCCATGGCATAGATGCCAAAATTGGACATCGGTATATTTTTATTCTTAGTTTGAAGTTTTTCAGTTATCGGTTAACGCATACTAAAACTTTGTCCCATTCTGGTATTAAGCCTGATACTACGATAACATTGTGCTTACTTAGTGACAGCAATCAAACGTCAATGTGTTTAGTCTCTTTCTTTCTAGCTGTAAGAGCAACATGGATCTTACTTATAGTAAAATAAAATATTGAAATACTTCGATTAAATGTAGCTATTTTATTCTACCCAATAGATGAATTTCGTTGCTATTGGTAGTGCATAACGGGCTAACCTCTTTTTCGATTTAAGGTGATATACATTTAAAAGAAATGCAAGCATTCTAGTAATTTTGTAAATTTCAGACGTGCAAGTATAATTGTCTATTTTAACTCGGCTATTGAATTAAAGCCATTCGACAAGCCGTCCTATATTCAAAACTAAGATTAGAGTCGAGAGTCGCAAAATCCCATCACGACGATGACACTTGAGCTTTCATTTTGCGGTGAGTTAATGCAATAAGCAATGCAGAATTTACTTCTTAAATGATCTGACAAGTATTTATAGTGGGATAAGAATCGTATGTCTCTAGAATAATGCAGTCAGACTGGGATATGCTTTAAGAGAATACATCAAAATATAAGAATTCCATATGCTAAATATGCCTCCTCCTGGCTTAGTATATATTTCTATAGGTCATTTTTAATCTGATGTTATAACTTAGGTTCAAAAAGAAGTCACATTTCTAGTTGGTAAATTAAGCGTAGCAACCAGTCGATAATAAATCGTAATATCTTCTGTTTTCGTTAACTTTTATATACGGATATATAGGTTACGGCCTAACCGAAAGTAAAAATTGATGAAAAATGGTATTCAATGATTCCTTCGACATGCCGTATTTGAATTCTATATAACGTTACATAGTATTAAACTAAGAAAACGAGTTTGTACTTGCCTGCCCCTCAGGCCGTATTTTAAAAACAACTTCTATTTCTTTATCGTCATTAAATTTTGTAGAGGTATGCTACTTACGTAAATCACCTATTTATATTGTCAGCCTAACTATTCACCGACTGATTAGTCGCATACTATCAAGCGGTTAAAGTATTCATTATATTTATTTCATAAACATTATCACCATTAAATCACCATATCTGAGTCTGACTCAGTTAGATAAACATTGAGAATAAATAACACGATTTCTCAGTAGAAGTGCATAACTAAATATTAGGAATTGGTCAGTAGTTAATAGATTCTTGCTAAATCTTATTATCATTTGCTTCCCAAATAATTCTAGTTTCATAATTAAACTAATATATGAATCTAATGCAAAAGACTTTACAACGAAAATATACATGTTTACCGTGAGATTTTCCGGCCTAATATGCGATATCATTCTATACTAGATTTTATACTTCTAATTATGGACACTGAATCACTATTGATATTTATTCTTTTTCTCTAAAAATTTTTATAAAGAATTATGATCAGCTTAAATTCTTTGTTATAGTTTTAATCACTATGAAAGCAGATACATTGTATTTGTCTTCTCTTTTGTGACAATTGCAACCTTGATTCAACGATACATTTTTCAATAAATGATATTTTTTTATTTTATAAATATAATCAAGTTTTTTGACTTTGATATGGAGTTCAAGCACATTAATTTCATAGTTTGCTTTTTGTAATTCACTTATCATCGTATCGTTTATGTTGTGGTAACTGGAAGTACTGTAAATTTGTATTAATTTATATTGAAAGATTGCCATGAAATTACGGCAACAGAATGAGGTAAGTAATAGATATTATTTTAAATTCTTCAATTTGGATAAAACTTATGAAACATGATAATCCTCGATAGGATGCATTGCCATGAGTCAGTAAAACAACATTTAAAATAATATTAGATACAGTGGTAAGATAGAAAATTGTTTACATGTATAATATTGTTACACTTGTCAATTCCGTTGCAGTTACCATTTGGATTTAATCATATCGTGTGAAATATAATAGTAACTTCGCTATCGTAAATTATGCATCAGCCAAGAATGTAAAATATGTTTCCAATGTAAGATTGGAATATTTGATTAACTTATAAGCAAAATCACCCTGTTTTGCTAACTTCATCCCTCCGGACGATTATGCTACAACATTATTTTTAGTTACAGTTGATATAAAAATAATCCAACAAAAATTAAAATGAAACATAATTTGGTTTAGATTAATATATTGGCTTTATAAATAAATTAAACTACGCAATATACAACCCTACCGTGATGTATTTGTGCTTATATATATGTATAGCAGTATAAAATCTATCTAGCAAATGGAGTGCCAGCATTACTGAATGATCTGTTTATCATCTTAATAATCAGCAAAGGAAATAGAATGATTAACGAAATCAATACAAAAATTTATCTGATATTACCAGTAAATTTTTTCTCGAAGGGGTACAATCTGCATTAAAGTGTGGCATTCACTGAAAGACCTATTCAGTAGTTTACTTCAGCGATGATCCTATCGTTCACTATTGGCATTAGCATTATCATAGCTTGGTGGTGATGCAATTACCAAATAAGTTTTTGGTTGCTGATCATTGCGACTGTCGATGACATGAGAACGACCAAGCTCATTGTCGTTAATTTGTGAGCTATCGTTGGTAGATCTTAAATCTACTGCAGAGGGTGGATTCGAACGATAAGTTGGCGGTGGATGATAAGGTGGTGGATTATCCCAAGCGACTGGAATGATGTAAGACCTTGATTGCGTTGTTTCTGATCTATGAGGCTCCTGTGTGTAATAGTGTTTATGAGATTATTATCAATTAAAACGAATTAAAATAATGGATCATTTAAAAGTAGACAATAATCGATACTATAAGTGGTGGCGTAGCGTCAGATAAAATACAGGAAACATTTGCATGACTACCAGTACAAATTCAATCTGCTTTTATCTTCTAAATAGCACTAAATGTCCGTCTGTTGACTAACTTTAACAAATTTATCTAAGTTAATTTTTGTGACCTAATCTTGTTAGTTTACAAAACTACGTTAAATCGATGTAATAATTTAACAGATGGCACTGTTGGTGGCACGACGTGCATATGGTATATCATCGAAATAATACACGGCAATAATCAGTATTGGCTATACGAGTATACGTATAGTGGCATGATGAAATAGTAACTCAAATCCAAGTAAAGATTTTAACTCCGTAGATACAGTATCATACGTAATAATGCTAGTTTGAATAAATCGAAGATTTATTAGATTTTATTATTTGCACTGCAGGTGTTAATACTCACTGTTGCCCGTCTGTTCTGACTAACTTCGTACATACAAATACAAATAATCGCACTAGCCGCCATAAATAGGATTGACAATACAATGTTAGTTGCTTTAGCCACTACATTAATTCCAGCCACGGCATTTATGATACATATAACAAAACTTATTAACGGTAACACTGTTGTCAGTGTTAAGATGCCATAATAATAGCAGGGCTAAAACGAATATAAATCAATTAATGTTATTAAGTTTTTAGAGTGCATTTAATATAATTAGAGAGATTAAGGATTTTATTAATCCAGTAGCAATAAATAATTTAATTTACTTCAACTTTTTTTAAATTTACTTAATACTATGCTAGTAGCTCGACTATGGAATAATCTCTCAATTTGCTTGATTACGAAAAGCGCTAGTTAACGTAATAAAGAGATTTCTTAAATTACTTAATTCTATATGCAGCAAGTTATTTGGAAAGCTTCATTTGTGACTTATCGCATAATTACCAGATGCAAAAGTGAGAAAGTAGCTAAATATTCATGCAAGAAAAATGGGATTTCACTTACGCTTTTTATTGATGACATCGCGCGTGAGGTATTCCAAAATACGAATATAATCAAGGAACCACTGAATATAATCTGTGGGTAGGTAAAAGAAATAAATTTTACTTCAATGGAGCAATATCGACCAATTTTTTTATTAAAAGCGGCACATAGTAAATGACGAATATGTCATCTTATGTTATATAGCTAATTGATACTTAGTGGTGAATGAAATCACAACATAAGATCCGAAGCTGAAATTTAAGATCGATTAATTTCCGTCAATCTGATCGATAAATCATTTTCATTAAAGTGAGTTAATTAAACAGCCTTGTTTTAAAGTCTATCTTATAAGATAGGAATAAATAAGCTTCGACTAGTTCTGAGACCAAGCCTAGCGGCCAACAAATTTCTTATACCACATCTAGTTATAATTGTATTAAATGCGATAAAGATCTGTCACTTTCGACTAAATTTAAAGAGATGAGGTTTCTTGTGGAACATCATATGGTAATACTAGGCCATAAAAGAGTCAAAAACTGAATCTGGTTGCAATGAGGAAGACAGCGTCACCAGTTGATGCTACGTGTAGAATGGGAGCTCAGTGCTACAAGCAGCACACATCGGATTAATTAAATGCTCTAGCGTAAGATTAGTAAGCCTGGTAATAACAATCGACCAGTATCAATAATTCATTTTTTAATTTGGTTATGAAATGAATTTTTAGATCCAAGCCATTTCATAACAATTGATCTATGAATCTATATCGTACGACAACTTGTTGATATCATCATAACAATTAAGTACATTTGAGATGATACAGTGCTAGCATGGGAATTCGATAATTTGCTTTGAGATACTTTTACAAATGAAAACAGAAGATTTATATATATGTTATATATATATATATGTTTGAGAATTTTTCGAAGTTAATCTTCTTTGGGATTAAATTTTATTAATTACAAATGGATTACATTATATACTTATATAACGCGAAACTAATATTGTTATACAGTACGCTATAACTTCGGTTTGAGTTAGGTGAATAAACGTTGACTGCTTTAATTGTCAAAATACGGCAGGAATACTAATTTTTTCTGGATAAATAATTTATTGCGTACAAAAATACAGTATTTTGAAATGATTTATTGATAATTTATTTTCATTTACTTGTAATCTGGTCTTCGTATATCAGTTAAAAATAGATATTTACATAACATGCTCACAATATCTGTATCGTCAATTAACTGCAATACGTAAAGTTTACCTTTAGCGTTTTAATACTTTTATGTTATTGCATCTTGTCACAAATATCTATAATTGTATATAATCAACTTACACAGCCCGCTGCTAAGTAAATGATTGTCAAGTTATCTGTTCCAGGCGTTAGAGCAACGTAAAGTGATTTCGTCACGAAGCACCCTATACCAATAGTCATAAGGATCCAACCATATCGAAATATTCGATTGCTAGTAATTCTTTGATTAGGGCTATCGAATGATTCTAAGTTTGAAGACGGTGATTGCGGACATCCGCTATTGTCTCTATCTAAGTCCATGGATTTCAGTTATCTTTATCGATGATATCCTGTATAACATGTATTCTATTAACTGAAGAATATTGGCAGTGATGAAGATCTTCCTTTCTAAAATTTCTTTCCCAAAATCATATTGATTACGGAAGCGTGAAGTAGAAAATCTGTTATAACGCCATCCCTATCATGACAGCACCGGCATCGATCCTATCATACAGTATACGTAGCGCTAACAAGTGTTTGTTAATAATTAATCCAAGTAAATTTATCGATATCTGATGCTAGATTTTAAGCAGGGAATTTATATTCCAATTCCAACATCCGTTTACTAAGTGAAAAAAAAGTATCCTATATCGCACTGATACAGTGATTGCTGTTATTAAATGGATTAAGTTTGGTTAGCTATTCTATCGTTAATCACTTTAATTGACTAGAAAAAACTAGGGAAAAACTGTATCAACTTGTATTGAAGGTATCATACAGTGCTGATCTATAGTATATTCTACTATGATAAATTCAATCTCATTAGCAACTACATATCACTAATTGTCTCATAACGATGTAATTAATTGATAATCATGTTTTCCGCACCGCAGGGACAATGCCGTTAGCAGTTGTTTTCCTTTTACCCTGGTGATTTGTAATTATACAGTAGTACACAGCAAAAACAATGTCATGAATTGATGAATTATTGTCTAGGAAGCTTTGGAAATAGTTATTGATGTTATATATATCAAGTAAATACTATACATAGTTATCAATGCATTCGATGACGTATTCGATGACGTTTTACTCATTTAAGCTCATTAAGGAGTACGGTGAAATAGTCAAGATGGTTGAGAGTGTGGATTGGCCAATTTGTATCTACAATTTGTATGGTACATAAAGAATTCTATCCGGTGTGCAGAGAGATTACGTATCTCTCTCTAAATTAAAACCTGTATCAGAGACAGGAGAGACAGGCACTACTTGTGCTATACTGAAAAAAGAAAGAGAAGGACAGAAAACGGTCGTTCAATGTACTGAAAATGCAGAGACCCTGATCAGTTTGCTGGTCATTTCAACTCAAGCGTATATCTGAAACGATATACTATACTGTCTACAATCGCCATCCAAATGAGCTGCTTAGTTGGTTTTGTACAGTGTTGTATATGGTTTTAGTGGTAGCGTATACTAGAATGACAAGCAAATAAATGCTAGGCTCAACATTATTTTACACTGTAGTCCCTACTAGAGATTACATTGGTAAATTTGAAACATCAGTGAACTGTAGTGATTGCAAGGGTTAAAAACTTATTTTTGTGATGTTAAATTTATGCGGTGATATAGTATACCTTTAGCAGTAGGCCAGTGTTTCACCAAATACCTATTCTACGTACTTGTACATGGGCTTCATTTTTATCAATACCATCGAGACACAACTACAACTTTACAACTATGCATGTCTACAACTTTGCTTTAAAACAGCTCATGGCAGTCTGCAATATGATATTTAATGCACAAAGGTAGATTCATTTAGTATTAACAGGAATAATGCTTTTACATTATTAGTTTTCTATCTGGCTACCAAAGACTGTTGTTGATTCTGAAAGTATAGTCGTTGTGCTAATGTCTAGCTGGAAGCATAATTTTCAAGTACAGAATTAAATATAACCTCATCCTAGATTTAAAGCGCCGCATAGACAGTAATAATATCGCAATTATATACCGGTATATATAATAGGAGACCTGCGTCAAGGAAAAAAGCAATAAAAACAGCAATTAAGAATGCAAAATAAAATAAAACTTTAATAAATAGATAATACACCGTATAAAAGATAGATAAGCAATGAAGACAAGATAATTCACTAAATTTTTGGCAAAAACTGCAATCATTATTTCAGTTAAATTGGTAGATCACAGATATAGGCTAGTTCAGCGAACGCATTATAATTACAAATTACTATTTAGTGTCTCCATGTAATTTCCTTAAATTGCTTTAACTTATCTTTCATTTTTTGATCATAAAACAGGAACAGCATTAGTATGCGTATCTATATAGTATTGATATAACAATATCCACAATCTTAAAGATATGTGATGAATAGTTAATCGTAGGCAGTAATTATTAATGAGTAGTAAAACAGGAACCGTTTCATTTCAGCCGACAAAAACAAATTTTAAGAAGTACAAATTTATCAGATCTTAGCACATGTGAATAAGAATATCATAGAATTAATCGGCTAAATCAGGTAAACGATTGTACGTTATTTGATGCATATTTACAAAAATTGGACCTTATCCATATCCTAAATCACGGTTGTATAGATCTTTTTTGATATATCGAGTTGGAAGGAGCGTTAATATCTCGTATAATACACATAACAGCAGATGGATAAGCTATGCATTCATATACAGTATAATATAAAATAATGTGGGTACTTGAAGACTTCCGTTTGACCGGTTAATCATATCTCATTTAAGTTTGCTAAGCAAGCTAGTAGCCTTTATGTTACAATAACAACCCGGATATTTCAGAACATTTACGCTACGTCCGTAAACTATTATACATATACATTATAGTTAGCATTAAGTGATTCCACAACGGAAAAGTAAAATTAAACTATATTATAGAAAAATGAGATCTTTTCCTGGGTATCTTATATCTAGACTTACACTCTCTACTACCAATAAATTATAATTAATTATTATAATTATAATACGGACAAGCTACAAGTAGTTATCATAACAAAGCTAATTTTTAAGTTAAATTTAATATTACTTTTTTAAAAAAAGTAAATTCATGATATGGTCAATTTTGTTATTACAGTATGCTCGTATAGCAATCGAATGTCGTTACTTTTTCATTTTCAATGCTTCATCGTAGTTAGGGAGCTTTACGATCTCTGTTTCTATAACATAAATCGGCAAATTTGTCTGTGATGGAGTGCCCGTAGTTGCCAAGCAGGAGTCATAACTTGGTGGAGAAGGTAAGGTTGAACTTTGCACACATCGTGATGCTCTCTGTCAGTTCAATTTAAGTATATCTTAATTATCAATAATAACTATAGTATCTATCAAGGAAAGCACTCATACCAATATCTCCAATTTACTTCAATGTACAGTACTTACAGTGATTTCCACTCTATTATGGTGAATAGAATAGCCAGCGGCATAGATGGCCCAAGTGCACATCAAATTGAAAAAGCAGATGAAAATGTTGATAATGATTGATGTACCAATACTATTTTGGAAGGCATTAAATCCACTCACAATACCAGTAGCGAAGGATAGAATGCAGCAACATCCCAACAAGCAGTACGAAATATTTTTCTGTATTCAATGATCATAAAATGAACATTTATTTTCCATTCTATAATTATAAATTATCTTACAAGTAGTACATTTAGTACAAATTTCAATTGCAAATTTGTACATCGAGCAGCGCATATATAAATATGAATGCAGCAAAATGACTCAGCAGACCACTGCAAAGTATCCATTGAAAGACTACAATTTCCGTGTAATTATAATCAACTGCTCTTGAATTAATACTGGACACTGTAGACAGTACCAAGGATCACTAGATACTTGATAAAGTTATCTAGTGATTCATGACAGTACTGGATACTATATTGTTCTTCATGGGAACTATCGTGGAACACTGTGGAAACCAGGGCTACATGGGTGTTAAAATGTTGAACCCACGCACAACTTTAAATGTCGCCTTCCCTATGGCCAATGTACACTACGAAATTCGTAGTACGAACCATAACAGTACAGTATTTGACACAAGATTCATTTTCACATGAGTTCAAGTTCAGAATTGGCAGTAAACACATAAAAGATAATAAATACGAATATAAAAATAATAATTAGTTTTTTTTTATTTTACTATACAGTATATGATAAAGTAGTACGGTGCTGACTGCACTGTATTATCTGGTACTGTGCAGGACGTATGCACCGAGCCCAGTACATTAGTTCTAATATGACTAGAGTGAGAAGGTCATTTCATTAATTCATTCATTCACATCAATACAGTATCTAAAAAAAATGAATCCTTAGGATGAGCAGGTGTCTTCTCAAGCCTTCAAGGCAGCCTACAGCGCTGATACATGAGTAAATTCAGCAAGCGCTACTGAATTGAAGTGTGTGCTTGGAAATTTGTATAAAATTACTGATATTTCCTTTTTACTTTGTTCTTAACTCTTCCTACTACACTAGACAAACAAGTGATAGGTAAACGGTACGCTCAAAACAGATCGAGCAAAACAAAAAATTAAATTTATTTTACTTCATTTTACACCAAAATGATTTTATTGGTGACAACTATGTTTACAACTTACAAGCTACATTACGTAATCTAACTACAAAGTACTGTACTAACAATCACAGTCCTGTACTGTACGTCCATAAAGCTGATTGGTCAGAGATTGAACAAAGACTTGATTGACGTTCTGAGGTTGCTCAGATTAGGTCAAAATTAATTTCCATAGTACGATGCCTGCTATCCTTTTAGTGCCCCCTACTGCTTAACCTAATCTAGTAATGTGTTTACGCGCAGTACCGTACATTGTCTGCAGTCTTGCAAGGACCAACGACTATATTATTAAGTACAGTGCAAAATATTTTTTTATTATTATGTAATAGAGAGAAATTAATGTAGAAAGGCAACATCGACCAGATCTAACTCAACCAATTAATTAAACATAGCACTTAGCAATGCGACTAAATAGTAACATCAACTGTCAAAACAATAACCTAAAACGTTAACACATTATACAACTTGGTGTAGATATCTGTGTACGGTGTATTCAATCAGACTACTACTGTATTGTAATTTGAATAATTCTGTAAATAGACTTACATGGGATGTTAAAAGTCTCGTTCCATTCTCCACACTGCTGGAATAGATTAGAACGCTGCTGCAGAAAACGATCTGAAATTTATTGATGATAAGTGCTTATAAGTCATAGGCATTAATATTCAGCGTAGAGGCGTAAAGTGAACATTTAAATCCAGTTGAGAAAGTTGATAATTAACGTAAGTTGATTGTGCCGATAAATTTATCTAGTTAAGTCGAGACAGATTAAAAAAAAAAAATGAATGACGTCTTCGGTTTATAGTCTACAAAGATTAGAATCTGTCAGTAACATGTATACAGTATATAAAAGTGCCAGACTAGAAATACAGTATTATTATGTTCCGATCCTAGTTGATTTAAATGCTTAGCGCATCGTATCATACACAAAGCGCTTAACAAAATCAGGACAGTCCATGCGAAACTACGATGCTATATAGTGCAGTAAAATACAGTATAATCACAGTAAATGATGATAAAAAGTATACATTTGATTCAAAAAATTGGCGACTCTTGGCAATATAGCCATGTCATAATGCTTACAGCATGCTGCAGCGACTATCGAACATTTCACGAAATGTTAAATAAATGAGGAGATTTTTCGTTTTAACCGCATTAGCCGATACTACAGTACGTACCGATCTAGCATCTACTATTTTCTGCACCATTTTCTATTTATCTAGTAAGCAATGAAATTGCCATCGAATAGTAACACTTGGATTTTTGTTAGCTTGGCTACTACGGCTAAGAAATACGTACTGAAAAAATTCGTTCTACTAGAAATTTCTATATAGACTAGTACTCGTACCTAGCAAGGACTAGGTGGAGTAGAGACACTCATTACTTCTGTAATCGTGACCGCAGCTGCCTCAATGGTCCTTTGTAGAAGCAGGGTAGAGTAATTTAACATCTAGCTGCGATATTACTTCCATATTGCTTTTAGCGGAGATTTATAGTATATCGCAAGGAAACTACGGCGATCTACAAAGTGTTCGGCCTTATGAAAAAATTGATCAATGAAAGCGATAGTAATGAAGAGTTGAATCATTTAAAAAAGTTGGTAACAAACTAAAACATGTCAAAACAAGTTTACTAAGACGATGTGGCCCTATTTTTTTTTAGAAAAGATAGCGCAATCTAACTTGTTGCAAGCGAAATGAAGATGTGGTAGAAGACAAAGTTATCCCATTTGAAATCTACTATGATGACAATTGCAGTCATGAGGCAGAAAGCATGGTTTGGTAATGATACTTACTAGTCCAGCGGATGAGAACATTAACGGCAAATAATTTGTAGTTTTCGTAAAGACGATATGCAAGAAAACAAGCAATACCAGGATAATGCCCATTACACAAACCATGATGGATAGGATACGAACACGCTTGACTTCCTTGTGTCTTTGCTGTTCATATCGTACTCTACTATAGCTAGGCGGCGATCGATGACCATCTTGTCCATTCGTTCCACCATCATTGGTATTTTGGCTACCAAGTTCAACATCCATTTTGCACAAAATGAAGTTTGCTTATGAACAAAAGCTGATGGGAAGATAGCTAATCAATTGCGTATCAACTGTATGATACAATATAAGCATGATTAAGCCAAGGTCATTATTACTGTTAAGACCTTTTCATTACCGTCCATCGAGCCAGTCTATATAGTGTCATACACTTCGTCGCAATGATAGCAATTGTATCAGATTGATCGGTCCATGAAGTCGCCGTTTGAACTGCATAAGTTAAAAAGAAATTCAAGACGTTTTGTTTACTTAAAATTAAAAGACAAAAAAAAATAAGTTGTTATGATTCAATTATTGTCTATACAGTACAGAGTTGATTGATACCATTGAAACGTTGTCGCTGTGCCCATAGATAATCAGGTGGGCTGATCAATTTTGAATTAGTGCGTTACAGTACAGTCTGCCTACAGTACTTTACAGTATCTAGCTTACAGTACCATAGACTGTAGTACGAGAACATTCAATATTGAATTGCAGTCCAAGTTTTGACACACGATTGTACTGTAGACTACACTACAGTACTGTACAGTACAGTACTGTACAGTACAGTACTGTACAGTATAGTACAGTGTACAGTGCAGCGTACTGTACAGGATTTGGTATTCTAGCAAGAGTGGCACAATGGAACAATGCAAACGTTCAAACACGGACAAGAAAAAATTGTTAAATTTTGAAGCTTTGCAACCTTGAGTTGGTGGTAATCGTGTAAAGAATGATCGAGTTCTCGCTTTGCTATGCTACCAGCTAGTGGATTGTGTACACTTGTACTGCACTTTTCCTTTTCGTTAATGTCAATTGTATTATTAAATATGAGTGCGGTAGAAACATAATCAAGGCCAACACCAACACAATGCCTCTAAGTAGAGCTCAACTTTTGCTATTAAAATAAATAAAATACGTATTCGCAGTAATGATTCAATTATTAATACGGTACGGAAGCGACAACTCACCACAAATATACTGGGCCTAAGCATTCATGAACTCATTATCAACGTAATCGTCGTCAAAATACGATATGACCTTATTTGTACGTCATTGAAAATAGAGTTACATCCAACTACGGATATTTGTAAGCATATTTATTTTGATAGGATAAAGTAAACGTGCGCTTCAATGTCAAGTTTGAAAACAGCTAAAATTGAATCACATCAATTACGGGGTCGTATTTTTTATTTTGGGCAAACATGTTACAACTTGTGTAATCGATCTTTACATGTAAGGAATCAATCGTGATTTTAATTTTAATTCACCATGTTACACGTGTGCGCAGGCAGTATTACACAAAAATCAGGTCAATACCTTTATCGAGTTCAGCACGTGCGACAAAGATGTCTGCTGACGTTAACAATTAGTCATATGGGATACCGCAGTTAATGGTATTGCAAATACACTTATACTGTACACCCAATGCAATATACAGTACCGGAGTTCATAGCCCCCCCCAAAAATAAATACTGTAATGGGGAAGTCGCTTAACAGCAGGTTACTTTTCAGTCAGGAATCGTTTATGCGATCTACTGAGCACATTATATACTGTAATGTAATGCAGTCATAATTGATCAGATGGACAGTCCTTCACGGCGAAAGCCATAATAACATAAAACGTTTCTTTAGTAAGCTATAATATCGGCTATTCTTGTTTGAAAGTCAATATGATGTACAATAAAGCCATCATCCATGTCTGCATGTGTGGATTACGCTGTACCAAATTTTAGCAGTGCATTGTATAGTACAAAATTCTAGCGTGTTTGATAGCTACTTAAGCACACGATGTGGTTCCAATAAATAAATTAACGCAGGCAGTTATAAGTATTGAATACTCTTTCTCAATTACAGAAGATGATCACTTAATAAGTATTACGAACAGCTTCATCATGTTGAACTACTATAAATGGATAATTACTATTGTACAGAATACTGCCAATTAAACCTACGTGCCTTTCCGATAATTGCATATACAGTAGATACATGGAATCAGCCGATGGAGAGAAGCAACTTGAAAGGGGTATCGTCTACAATGAACTTTCACTTAAATTGACAGTATGGAAGTTTCTTGTGTGGGCTCGTAGGCGTTGCCGACACTTTAGTACAATTTTTCTAGTGATGTAGTAACACGTTTGGGTTACCAATTCTCAGTCATTCTTAGGAAGTATGTTGAAAATTGATCAGTTTTTACTAAATGTTTAAAAGTTGAAACTTAATTCGTGAGTGTACCATAGCATGGTACGTATCTTAGTTAATAAAGCAGAATTGTATAATACGTACGATGCTGTCATAGAATTTTTACGGAATGTTGCACAACAATTTCCTCTTCAGTATCTTAACAGGGCAAGCACGGCGATTTGAGACTGTCGACGCTGGCACGTACCTAATTATTTTGTAGATACAATTTTAGTAACAAGATAAAATGTAAATAATGAAAAAAAATTAGCGATTAGCCTTCTAGGACATGATTTTACACAGTGCAAGTTGTGTCGTCATGACCATTTGGCCATACTGTTATTAGCAGCCAGTTCAAAGGGCGTAGCATCTACAATTGCTGTATATTATTTAGTGCTAGTTACATCATCATGGCCATGCATTTATTGACAGCCAGTTCAAAGGGCGGTAAGAAGGAGTTATCGATAATGAGTCAAGTTCAAAGCATACTACAAGAATTACATCGTTTGTGATGTACTTCTGTATGTTAAAACTGGATATTGTACTCATCGAGGAATCAATGAAACCGGAATAGTCATGGAAAATTACTTATTATATTTACTACCTACGAATATATAACAAACAACGACATAAGGTCTCCACATTGCTGTTATAAGCCAGTTATAATGTATTTACTCTAGCTTAAATAAATATCACCTGCCCTCGTGCTGTTCTACAGTTAAAAGTAATTAAATGAAATTATAGTACATACTGTATGCGTATAAGCCGACTAGTGATGTTTCCGTAATTTGCTATTCTTAACTTCTGTAAGAAAATTCGAATTAACCAGATCTGAACAACTCATGGAAATACCACGAAAGCTTTAATTCCGATCATAACTTTTCACATCATATTTCCCTTGGTCGAGTTACTAAAATAGTATTTAGATATATCAAATTGAAATGCACTAGACATGTTGTCGAACACCCTACAATATGCGATCATCAACAAGATCTAGTTAAACTTTTATGATTTCAATTGGCAGTAAGTGTAAATACTGTTGTTTACTAGAATTGGTAAATACTTGTGAGATTGTGTCAAATAAATTATTGTATGTTGCTCTTTCAACTTTATATTTCTCCATATTTTTTGTCAAATATTAGTTGGCATATTTCTTACGTAAAGATAAAATCTTAAAATTATTCTAATTTCCAATAATTGTAATTGCATTATAAGCATAATTAGCGCATGCCATCAAGGCCAAAATCAGTCATAATGATTGCCAATTGGTTGAACTTTATCGGCTTCCTATCGAATGTAATGAACTAATAGTACGGGGAAATACGTATTGTTAATTCGCCCGGATTTCACGATTTGCTTACCATCCTAATTACCATATTGCAAAGCATAGATTCCTTAATGTATTCCAGGAATAGACTAAGTGGGCATTTTGAAAATAGATTTAGAGCAAGAAAACACAATATTGAAATTTACGGATATTTAATGGAACATTTCTATGAAAATCGTTGTAATAGATAAACTATATCTTTTGCAATTTATATTCCTGAAATCTAAACATACAGTACGTATTGTAGTCAACCCACAGAATCCAAGTGGTAAAAACGTATATAATAATTAACGATCCTTCTAATTGCATAAAAATGTTACGGAAACAGTTAAGTTAATCTGCAAGTATTTAAACATCAGCGGGAAGATTTGAACGTAAAATTGTTTTAAATTCTTATACATTTATTTTAACTACAACTACCGTTTACACTATATTTTAAACATAGGATTTCGTCGTGTTATTATTCAATATGAGTGTATCCCTAAACCAACAAGTTTAACTAAATATTTGCAACACAGAACATATACAGTACGTGTTCAAGTAACACTCAAGTACAATTAATAGATTTATTCATAGTGCCTTTCGTTAAAATGATTTTAATCTCACGATAATGCAAATTAGAAAGATAACCTGTCTAGCAACAACGCAACAAAACCAACTAATGATTTCCTTTACTATTTGCATAATGTACAAAATATTAACTTGCTTAGCACATTTACATAAAAAAATGAAACCGCAGAAAAAATCAGATATTACACGGTACTACCGTAGATACGTCAAAACTATATTCTTTTACTTGCTTTCTTAATCTTAATATAGGAACAGCAGCGATATTCAAGTATTTTTATCAATAAATAACCGCCAAAACTTCAGTTTTACAGCAACGAATCAAATAAAAGAATGCTGATAGAAGTATACCATTTTTAATCGGTTACAAAATAGTATGAACCTTAACTTTATAAACTATTGTAGTACACAGCAGAGCATCTTTGATTGATTACTTTACGAATCATTGACATATTACAAAGTAAATTGATTATTTTACTTTGGATCGCGCTGTGGAATTATTTCCGTTAGTAGAACCGTCAGATATAGGAGTATTGTTAACGATAACCTCGTCATAACTGGGTGGAATAGGCTGAGACACATTCGTGCTGTCATTATTGTTATAAACATCTTCGTAGCAAGGTAGATCAGTAGCTTGATCTTGAGATTCCGTTACATCCTGTGCTCCGGTAGCTTGGTTATAACTCGGTAATACAGCTGGAACTTCAGGAACAGTATTTGTGTTTGTCGCCCTATTTCGGCTTCTGCGTTCTCCAGCATGTACACGTAATCTTCTTAAAGTCTAAAGTAGTAGAATGCAGTCAAGCAAGAACAATAATAATAACTGTGAGGAATCTAGTATTTAAATCTTGACAATTGGCATGTTTATACTAACCAGAAAGCCTGGAATACTCTTCTTCAAGATACTGACACAGTAATTTTGAGTAATAAAAATCATAACAAATAACGCCATCATACAGGCACTCATAGCAGTAGTTATCGGCCCGCGACTACCAGAAACGTTAATTGCACATGCTACCACAGCAACAGCAGGCATAATATTACTAATGCCCGAAATTCCGGATATTCGTCTCATCTAGCATGTCAAAAATGAAAATATGAGCTATCAAAAAGTACTCACAAACAAACGATTATACAGTACATTCGCAAATGACAGGATCTGAGAAAAATGCTTGATAAAAATAATAATATCTAAAGCAATTGATGTCATTTACATTCGCAGAAATGATTAAAGGTCCGGCATCTTTGTTGCAAAGAACGATCAGCATTGCTGTGTGAAGAAATATCTATAAAAAAGATGGAAAAACATAACATTATGACTCAGTCAATTCTTTCCTATACGTATATAAATTGTATACAGTACAGCAAGTATTGTCATCAAGGCCTTACAACTATTGATTTGCTCATCAGTTAAGGCTAAAGAACTTTAACTTCGCTAAAGTATACAACTGCTGTAAAGCTAATTAAATGATTACATTAAAGTCTATAAGTGTAATGATCCGATTGAAAGTATGTGGTGGTTCGTGAAACCTTGACTATCGAACATGGTGAAAAGTTGATTACTGTCATTCATTGACTACTCAATTTTCATCATACTGTACGAATTACAGTACCCGTCAAAGATTTCAATTCATAAAATGTCATCGAAACTAACTCCCTTTCTCATTATAGCGAGTAGCGAGAGCGTTTACATAACAAAATAACAGACAACACCTATCAGGGATTGCACACTAATCAAATTTTTTCTTCAATGCCTAACACCTACTATCACCAACGTACAGTATACGACTATATGTACTTTCTTTATCAGCAGTTTTACTTCTTTCGCTCTACGGTACAAGTCGAATACTCTACTAAAGCACTAACAAATATAGTAAATTTTTAATCATTCGTTTTAAATTAAAGGAAGAAATTTTAGATCAAATCCAGTGAAACTGAAGAATCCATTAGTTTTCTATCGGTAGTGCAGTAGGTAAATAGTAGTCTATTGCCTCGTATACGCGTATCTATACTGACATCTCTATTTTAATCACTTTTTCTTATCACACTTTAACTTCGTTCTACACGTGTACTTATCGTACGTAATAAGCGACTTTCTTTACTTCCGATAAATTTAGCTATCAATCATTAATCGTTGGTTTTTAAGCAATACTTACACAAGTTATGGCCACATAAATTATACCTATGTTGCGAGGATATTGAGCGTTCATATTGTAGATTAAACAACAAGCTAAAGATCCAATGTTACATACAACAGTGACCCAACAGACGACGTGAATCCTTCGCAGGTCAAGGCGGATAAGTTCTTCTTGCCTCCGATTCAGAGCATTATTCGTCGACATGCTGTAATTTTGCAGATTAAGACTGTATATAGCGGTTGACAATCAGTGCTCCGTAGTAGTAATATGGATTATAGTTATTTGGATGTATGTCGATGTTTCAAAAGTGTTTGACTGTTACGATTAATTCTATAATTGCCTATCGTCAACATCTGAAATTAGCCATACATGAAATACAATTAAGCACAGGCTAAATGTTTCCATCACGTCAATCCAAACATAATTGGCAATTATTGTATAAAATTCGATTTCAAATATGACCAAGAGTTGGTTTTTCTTGTAATTTTCAAGCAAGTCGCACAGGCCACTTGTTACTGTAGTCTTGATGATCTCTTTCGAAAGTGGACACCGATTGGATTGAAATTTTTTCAATTACAGTAGAATTAATTCTAACCTTCACGGTGGCACTTGGTGACACCCTTCCACTTGATAGACAGTACTGTATTATAAATAAATATTCGTACAATACTTTATATAAGCCTACTAAGAATGAGTATGGTGTCCGTTGTACTGTATAGTGTACAGTAAAGTATGAAAGAAAAGGGTATAGGACAGTGCAAGAGGCACTCAAGAACAGTAAAAATACAGTACTGTACTGCAGAACCGTACCAGTCGAGCGCAATGTAGCCCAAGTATTTGGGTGTCTTGCGGGCTATTGCGTTTTACTTGTTTTGTATGAGTTTGAAGTTTGAACCACAGAGCTCAAAGTATGCTTTCACAAGTTACGGTACAGTTCTACAAGGTATTAGGAGTTATTCTGAAGTTTGAAGTTTTAACTACAGAGCTCAAAGTATGCTTATACAAGTTACGGTACAGTTCTACAAGGTGTTAGGAGTTATTCTGAAGTTTGAACCACAGAGCTCAAAGTATGCTTATACAAGTTACGGTACAGTTCTACAAGGTGTTGGAAGTTATTCTGAAGTTTTAACCACAGAGCTCAAAGTATGCTTACACAAGTTACGATACAGTTCTACAAAGTGTTGGGAGTTGTTCTTAAGTTTGAACCACAGCGCTCAAAGTATGCTTACACAAGTTACGGTACGGTTCTACAAGGTGTTGGGAGTTATTCTGAAGTTTTAACCACAGCGCTCAAAGTATGCTTACACAAGTTACACTATAGTTCTACATACAAGGTGTTGGAGTTATTTTTCAGTTTTAACCTCAGAGCTCAAACTGTATGCTTACACAAGTTACGGTACAGTTCTACAAAGTGTTGGGAGTTATTCTGAAGTTTTAACCACAGAGCTCAAAGTATGCTTACACAAGTTACACTACAGTTCTACAAGGTGTTGGAGTTATTTTTCAGTTTTAACCTCAGAGCTCAAAGTATGCTTACACAAGCTGCACTACAGTTCTACAAGGCGTTGGAGTTGTTATTGCTCACCAACAACTCCTGGCTAGTCATTGCGAGTGCGGGATCTATGAAATAACACTCACAAAAAGTGATGAGTCAACATGCCAGACAGTCGTTAGTGTTTAGTCATGTGATAAGACTTGGAAAACTGCAACACGTACAGTACACTGTACTGTACGTCGTAGAGTACAATACCACAGTACCAAGGGGCTTGCAGTCGATGATTGTACAGTACAGTACTGCAGTTGGTCGATCAGTACAGTACACAGTGTACAGTACACAGTGTACAGTACAGTACGACACTTCATAATACGGTAGTGGACGTAAAAACACCTGTCGTAACATTTACGACCTCCGACGCTTTTATCAATCACTAACTAATAACCAGCCACGGTCAACCGGGCATTTCTCCACAAAACGTCTATTGGATTATTTAGCATAAAAATAGCTGTATGGCATTTGTATTAAATAATTTCATACATTGCCCGTAACAGATATACAGTACAGTACTGTACTTGTCGCAACCCTCTCTTGGTGACAAAGGAAACGTACTTGAACGAAGTAAACAATCTCTCGTGCAACGATAATGACTCGGCTTACTTCTCCCAGTATCTCCAGTTTCTATGTTAGTGATATACGACAACTCGATTTCTCGGCTGAACTCCACAAATAACTGAATATATTACATTATTCTTTACGATACGAGTCTTGCATCATTTTTGACCAACTACTGATCCCAGCCACCCTCCCTTGAAATGAGCAGCGCGGGGGTATTTATACTACTGTTAAATGACTCTGATTATGGGTTCATTTCAATAGGTCAGTATAAGATTCTTACAGTACTTTTAACCTAAAGATTTCTTCATGTAAAACGAATAGCTCTAAGGTAGTAATTTCTGCAGAGTACTGATTATTAAAATAGTATTCGTTATATCGCTAAGGGTGGCCACTGGGCCTTTAAATTTTGATTTCATGTAATATTCTGATGAAAATTGAATAAACATAGAATCTTTATAGAGTTTTCTATACAGCCATTTTGATTGTTACATTTTCTTATAACGGTTGTTATCGACAGAGCAAGCTTTGCTTGCATACGACAGCGATCCTTAGACACATTATAATGATTGGTATAGAATTGACCACAGTACAGTACGAAGGACATTCTACCGCACTGTAGATATCTTACAGTACCTGCTAATCTTAACTTGGTATGTCCATCACCGTACATTAGTTATCATAATGTGCTCTGGACCATTAACTAATCTTAATTACTGTTACTAGGATATATATAATATCGAATGATAATACTATCTGTTAATTTTATTAAGAAATTGACCATAAACGTATATTTGAAAGTTTCGCTCACCAACCTTAACATAGCATTAATACCGTATATAGTAACCATCCTTATTCAGTAAACATACTAATACGAAAGTTACTTAACGAAATTTGAATTGGTATAGAAATGAATGATCTGTAGGGTTTATGTGAATATTATTGAGAAGGTAGAAGTGATTGATACACATCAGTAGGTACTATTAGTTCTATTGCTCTCTTACAATTCGTAGTGTTATCCTACTGTAGTTCCCCTGTCCCGATTACTAATATGATAGTTACTTAACGAAATTTGAATTGGTATAGAAATGAATGATCTGTAGGATTTATGTAAATATTATTGAGAAGGTAGAAGTGATTGATACACATCAGTAGGTACTATTAGTTCTATTGCTCTCTTGCAATTCGTAGTGTTATCCTACTGTAGTTCCCCTGTCCCAATTACTTTTGATTTCTATACTGTATATAGTAACCATCCTTATTCGGTAAACATACTAATACGAAAGTTACTTAACGAAATTTGAAAAGTGATTGATACACATCAGTAGGTACTCTTAGTTCTATTGCTCTCTTGCAATTCGTAGTGTTACCCTACTATAGTTCCCCTGTCCCGGTTATTTTTGATTGCTATATATCATATTACAAAAAGTATTTCTAAGAGGATAATGTTCGTTAGTCAGCGATCTGATAGTTACTGAACCTCTGTTAAATGAGCACATTATCGTAAACCGTCAGTAAAGCGACGGGAGTTTGCACTAGTACACACGCGCTTAAATAGATTTCTACAATGAATTCCAGTGTTAAGCAGTGAGAATTTAAGTTACCGTTATCACTATCATACATTACTAAATATGTACAGTACAGTACATGCAGTAGATATTCTCATCCTTAGGTAGCTACAAGCTATCACATACGACATACTGTATAGCCTTATTTGATTATACATTCATTAACAGTTACTTACTCATTTGGTAACGGCGTACCGTGACAATACTGTAAACATAACCCGCGTAGCCAAGCATTATCGCCCAAATTGTAAAGTAACGTGCAATGTCTACTAACTTCACATAGAAATTTTTACATGTAATATAGTATATTGTATATTGAATTACAACAAATTTGAGCAACGTCAAGCGCTGGAACATGATATTTCTAGTATACGCCTACTCCGTTTGGCCGTGATGGTATTACCAAAAAAATCGGCTTCTACTTGATGTACTGTACTGTATATACAGTAAGTATACTGTAGATTAATTAATGAATTAATAATAGATGCCTATTAAATTACTTCAAACTAAGACTTGTACAATTATGATTGCAACTTCATCTTTAAGGCTACACAACTAATCTGTCATGGTGCAGTAGTGACAGTAATATGTACTGTAAAGTAAAAAATACAATACAAGTATATACAGTAGATACCAAGTATCACGAGCAAGGGTTCGACTGCTTCCTATGTCAATTGCGAGGACTAGTAGACTCAATGCTCCCAAGTCCGGAAGTAATACAATGTATCAATATATTGCACATAATGCAATATATTTTATATTTTATAACGCTGCTGTTGACACTGTTATGAATATTGAACATTTCGATTTTTATTGTAATATAGGAGAATAATATCAAGACCAAAAGTAAAGAGTCGATATACGCATATGGCTTTTCTTTAGCATGCAGTAACTAATCGACGGATCGTATTATATTAACTACGAGTAAAATGAATACGGTAAAAAACTATTAAATGCCTTTACATCGCTAGGCAAAATCCATAAGATTGAAGATCTTTCTACGGTGTTTCAACGTGCTACGGCTAAAAAATATAGTACTATATATGGTTCTTCAAATTATATGTGATGACAGTTAAAAAATGTCCTTTCTACGTTAACAAATCATATTAGTAAACTTTGGACATTTATACACTGATGATTAATTTGTCAGCATAAAAATGATTTAAAACTTAGCATCAACAAGCAATGAATGAGTAGATACAAAAGATAAATTACGTTAAACCGAAGGCGAAGGAGTACTAAACCCATATCCTGGCGGGTATTGATTGGCAGATGCAGGAACAGTATTCCTGGCCGAGTTAATCAGCATGAGCTATGGAGGGATTATGATTACAATATTAAATATGTGCATAAAAATGGTCGCAATTCCATTAAAATTCTGTAAGACAGTTTTGATCTACAATCGCATCAAAAACGACTTACCCATTTGATAGCGTAAACTCTTCGCATGCATACCGAACTTCCAATTCCAAGGAAGAATATGATGAGGCCAGAAAAGACAAGGTACACAATAGACGGTATATAGGCATAAGAAGAAATAGAAACTAAATAGATGTTTAAACCAAATCCGACAGCCAACGGTATCTGGCATACAATAATTCCTATGCGGTATAGGATTACCTATCAGATTTGCAAAATACATCAATTTACGGTTAGATGTAAACGTTGTAATAGCTAGTTCATAATATATTGACATACTTACATTACTTATGAAATGCTCTTTTCTTTCGTCCGAAATGAACATATAAACAACAGCGGCTGAAGCGATGAATGTCTAAAAATTACCAATCGACGAAAAAAGTTGATGAATATTAGAGAATTGTAATAACTGCACGTTGCATCAATACTAGATATTGTCAAGTACGTACAGCCAATGGTATAGCTTACAGATAAATAGATAGTAACAACTCTGCGAGAAAAATTTTTTAAAATATTGCCATTTAATGAAGAGGGCTATACAGTAAGTGGCTATAATGCATCGGCAGGGCAGTTTCAGCGAGGTGTACGAAAGACTGAATTTCAAAATGGTAAGATCGACTGGTGTACAGTACAGTACAGTACAATTGTTAACTGTACGATAACATTCCTCTGCTTGATGAGCTCACATCTATTCTGATGGTAATGTACTGTAAATATATGACATATACAGTACAGTACAACAACTGTACTGTAAAATGTATTTTTGGAATAGGGGAAATGTTTTTAGTTACGGCTTTGAGGGGAGAATTTTTAGTCGAGTAGTCCCTAGTAGTGGCAATTTGCTTGAAATATTTGGAGGCAGCAAAGTAGGCTGCCACATCCTAATGATGGACCAGTATTTTGTATGGAATTTGGTCTGTTACTTCATTTACTACTAGCAGAATCATGTTACTGTTGAATCCATATCAAAAACTACTAAAAAGAAAGACAGGGACAGGAAACGGTTTAGTGTCTATATGAATATTATAAAAAAATAATTAACAATGTCCATTTTGGGTTTATTCAGAGAGTGCTTAAACTCATTAATAAAAGTCAAACATCAAAGGGAACCGTTCTATCACGGAATTTAGACCAGCATTGTGTCCGTATTAAAGGAATTTCAAGCACGCACAGACCAATATAAAATATTTCACAAGGATTGCAAAGAGTTCCCGATGTAGTGTTGTACCATACTGTGTGAAAGCCGAGCAAAGAGCCCTTTGCGATCATTCCTATTGATAGTTTGATACGTTTCATAAAGCCACAATAAAGTAAGTAATTAATAACGTAACATATAAATGCGAATGATGTACTCTACTGTTAATAGAACCCAAGGACAAAGGGACAATTCCATTTCACGTGAAGTGGAATTCAGAAAAAAAGCAAGCCGTGTGCATACTCGTACTGTGCTGTACTTTTGCCAAAGAGTTTCGTGACTTAAGTTGAATTTAGTTAGTAGATCTGTTATTGTACAGTACTATGGCACTACCAATATTACGCTATTGTCAACACTTACCACCGAAGCACCGACCAAAGGCAATACGTAATAGAATGCTGGAAGAATGGGGAAGTTTTGTCTGATAAAAACTGCAGAGACCAGAGCTCCAATAGATGCAGCTAATTTACAACTATTAAAGATAAGAATGGCTTTCATATAGCCAGCAATACGTTGGCGGAATAGCTGATTCAGTGAAGCGCTTTGATCTGCCATTTTTGTTCAATCGCGTATGAGAAAATACAGAGAAGAAATATCTTTCGTTCAATGTCTTCCAAGTTGCGCACTGGATGCGGGAAGTGGATGCTTTTCCTACAGTATTTTAAGCGTTTATACTCGGTACAGTACAGTACTGTACTGTATGCCTTGTTTGATGGTCACGTGGACATCGAAGAGTTAGTTAATGACGC